ACATTTTGGTCAGTGAATTTAGAATAACAAGTGTCCCATCAGGAGAAGAGAGACTCCCTCCAGCTATTTGCTTTCTCCCTTCTTCACTTTGTAGAACAGTCACCACTACAAGTATTTCCCAAACAGGGGATCTTAAGAATGGACAATAAATAGAAACATTCCTCTCTCCTGCCTTAGCATAACATAAATCCTGCCATCCCTGTGCTGTAACACAGCTCACCTCCACTAGCACCAGTCCTGTATATAGCAAGAGACATACATGCAATGAAAATCCTTTGGGAAATCATAGGAATTACAGCTTCATTCTTAGCAAAAAATAAAGGACAATGGGTGTCTTATCTCCTGCTGTGGACCACATGGGACCAGCAGGCCAGTGCAGCCCTGCCATTGGAGGCATCTGGCCTCTGCACATGCAGAGGTTTGGCTATCACAGGCCAGCTAAGCATGACGAGTCACTGCAGCCTCCACACTTACCTGAGACATTTGACTACCATGTCCAGATCCACCAGGTAGGAGATGGAGTACGGCTTGCCATTATCCAGAGTTTCCAGCGCCTACCAACCACAGTGAGATTAGCAGAAGGTGGGGACAGTCACACAAAGAGATTTCGATTCAGCTCTCAGTTTGCACTTCGGATCTGCTCTGTGTTGGATTTTTTTTGCCTTCAGCTTCCCAAAACTACTTCCCATCTCTCCCCATCGCACCCAGTGGCACAAACCACCCGTCCCTGCCCCTCTCCCTCCCCGCTCGCAGCAGAGGGCTCAGCCGGAGCTCAGCACGCACCGCCAGGTATGCCCGGTCCCTCTCGATCAGGTCAGCGAGACAGTTCAGCAGCTTCCCCCGGTGAGAAGCATCCATCCTCCTCCAGGGCGAGCCCAGCTGGAAGGCTGCCTTGGCTGCCTGAACGGCCTTGTCCACATCTGCCTGCAGAGGAGGGAAGGCACGAGGGTGAGGAAGGAGCAGCCAGCCCCCACTCACTCTTTCAAAACACAGCTGAAAGCTCTCCTTGGTCTCCAGAAGAAAACAGCCCCTGGCACACACGGCTGCTCACATCAGCCTTGCTGGGGCAAGAACTTGCAGCCTTGACTTGCCTCACTGCAAGACACCTACATCCCCTGGGCTGCTCACCCCATGAGCATCAACCTGGGCACTCATTGTTATTTCAGCTACGCACAGTGCAAATCCCACCAGGTTATCTCCACCACGTCATCTGCTGGGTTAATATTTGCATCCCAGAACAAGGAAAAGTTCCCAAAGTGTGCTTCTCACGCTCACTCGGGTTTTGATTGCACCAGCACAGTCTAAAGGGGTTTTGTCCTTGATAAGACACCCCTAATCCATCATTTTGTCCTGTCAGGGCATTAAGTGGTTCCTCGTTGGTTCCCTGTCCTGGCTTGCTGCAATGGTCTTGCCAGGACAAGCCAGTCTACCGTGGACAAGCAAATAACAGAGTTTCCCTTCCCCACCCCTCCTGTGGGGAACACTAACAAGCTTCCAGGCTATAGAAAGAATCCAGAATTGCTGGGAAACACCAGCTCAGCTCTGCCACAGCCCCCACGGAGGGCCTTCCGTAAGGAATGATTACATGACTCTATTCACCACCACCTCTTGTTCTGTTTTCCTTGGGATGGGGACGGTCTCAGCTCTCCAATGGAATCCTGCCCCTTTATCTCCTCTGCTTCTGTGGCTCCGGCTCACGCTGCCAGCATAGCACCCACAGGACCACAGTGCCTGCCTTCATCCCTCCCTCTCCCTCAAGCTCCAATCATGGTTGTCCTCACACCTCCCAACTCATCTATTCCTTTTGGCCCTTCCCAGCCCCAGCCTGGCACTGGTGAGAGGCAAAGCCAGAGGGTTTTGTTGAAAGCAACAGTTGAGGAAGAGCACAAGAACCTCTTGACACTGGTACAGCTCAGACACTGCTGCAAACACAGCACTGCATCGGTGTCTTCCCCTGTCGTCCCCATGTACCTGCAAACACTGAAGCCAACCCAATCCCAAGAGAACGTTACCTTATCCCCTTCTGCAACCTGGCAGATGACTTCTCCTGTTGCCGGGTTGATCGTCGGGAAGGTTTTCTTACTGACTGCATCGTGCCACTCGTTGTTGATGAAAATCTGCACGGAAACAAGCAAAGCCTCAGCACCAGAGCCGGGGGAAGCCAGGGAGAGCATCTGACAGCACCTTAGCTGCTTCGTTAAAAGGGACCCAGCTTGTGCAGGCTCCCGATCCGCACCAGTACGAAGGAGATCCTTTAGCAACAACAGACACACCCTCAAGTTCACAACAAGAATTCACCCCTCAGCAACCAGCACCTCACCGGGAAGCTCCGGTCTCAGGAGGTCCCTGCAAGCCCGCGGTGCCCGGCTGGAGCTGCGCAGGGGCAAATCCAGGTCCATAGGGACAGGGTCAGCAGCGTGGTGCTCACCGAGACCTTCCCGAGCACTCGGCCAGGAGCCAACAACAGCCCGGGCATGGCGGCTGGGAGCGAAGGAGCGGCGGGGCCGGTGCCCCCTCGTGTAGCTCTGCCCTTAGCGAACCCGCGCACCGCGCTATGAACGGGGCTGTCCGCACCGCGCTATGAACGGGGCTGTCCGCACCGCGCTATGAACGGGACTGTCCGCACCGCGCAGCCCCTCGGGCCTTGGCCCCAGCTGGCCCCCGGCGCGGCCCTACCTTGTTGCAGGCGATGTCGGGCTGCGGGTTGGGCGCCGGGATGGGGGAAGCGGCGGCGGCGGCCGAGAAGGGCGCCCGGAGCGCGGCCGGGCCGCGGCAGAGCCGGGAGACGAGCACCGCTGCCCGCAACATGCTGCGCTGCGCTGCCCCGTGCGCTGCCGGCCGGGCCCGCTCCTCCGGGACCGCCCTGCTCCATAGGGTCCGCCCCCGTTCCATAGGGACCGCCCGGCCCGGCATCGGGAGGGCTCCTCCGGGCTTCATCCGGCGCGGCCGGGCTGGGTTCTGTCCCCATCAGCGCGACTCGGCGGCCTTTGCGTGGCTCTGTTCGGATGGAATGGGCTCGGTTCGGCCCGTTCACACCAGCTGGGCGCAGCTCAGCTCACTGCCGTTCGGGTCGGGTCAGCCCGGCTCAGTTCACATCAACACGGCTTGGTTTGGTGCTCCGGGGATGTCCAGCACAGGCTGCCCCTGTCCCTGCTTAGCTCTGTGGGGAAGGTGTTGCAATGGACTGCTCAGGGACCCCTTGTTACCTGGACATGCCCTTAGTGTGCACATGGGAATCTAATAAAGAAACCTCTGTGTACAGGGGAAGTGGAACAAAACCAGCAGAGAGCAGAGCCCCCGACAACAGGAACATCACTGGGTGCATACAAATGAGAGGCTTTGTAAAACTGCTCCCAACAACAGCTAAAGGCCTTTTCTGCACAAGAAGCCTTGTGCAGCTTCAGTGTGTCCAAGTGCAGATGCACATGAAGGAAAGAGAGACGTTCTCAAGTTATCATCACTGTCACTGAGGAAGGCAGACACCAAAACCATGAAGTTTTTAACCTCCAAAATAACCCTGTGTCTGACAGCACCTCTGGCTCCCTTGGTGAGGGGTTGGTGAAGGGTAACTGGGGGTGGATAGCTCTGATTTATTAAAGAGGCCAGAAAAAAGATGGAATATGTCAATTCAGAAGTAGCTTAATGCACTGCCCGGGAAGGAACTGATAGCACAGTGACAGTGCCTGGGTATTTCACTCAGGAGGGGAATACCAGCCCTGGTTTGCAGGGAGGAGCCACAAAGCCCAGAGAAGCAGAGGGAGTGCCCAAGGTTATCCAGCAGGGCTCGGATTAGGCTATGTGTTTCCTCCATCAGCAAAAAGAAATCCTCTTGTGTTAGAGCTCTCATCCACCCGTATCCCTGCAGGGTGACTGGTTCTGCTTTGTCACCCCACAGACTGGGGCCTGGGCAGCTCTTCAGGAGGTAGCCCTCCGGTGAAATACCTGTTCTAACATGATCTCTCTCCTCTTACAGGCCTGCACGTGCTAAACCACTTTCAGGTGCCAGAAAGACCTGTTTTACCCACTGGAGATGTGCCTGTGTGCACTGTCTGTGCCAGAGGGACCGGGTCAGGCTGCGTATCCACAGGGCACATCTCAGCACTGAGCTCCAGCAGAGTCTTGCCCAGGGCTGAGCTCCATACGCCATCCTTCGTGTCTTCTGCTGATACCCGGATTCAATGGTGACACTGAGCATTAGCTCACCTGTGTTAATGCTTTTGCTCCTCTTGAGCAGGACCCTTCCCTTCCCTGGGGCTCAGCAGACAAACGCAGCAGCACTAAAACGTGTAGTGGAGGAAACACCTTCACAGCAGATCCAATGCTCAGCCCTGCGGTAGCTGGCTGGGGTTGAGCCTGCCTGAGATGAGAGGGTGGGAGGTGCCAAGGTCAGGTGCCTGCTTGGAAATCGTCCCCTCTGTGGACAGGGCAGATCCAGGCTCGGATCCAGGCTCTCCTCCTTCTGCAGCAGCGCCAAGTGCCTGAAATTCTACCGAGGCAGAATTCCAGCCTGGAGCCTGGGAGAAACTGGAGCTCAGGTTACAAGGACTCCCTAGAGCCCGTGGTCCTGGTGCTGGGCAGCCAGCACGGCTCCTCTGCAGCACCCCTTGTGCCCCGGGAGCAGGGATGTGCTGGGGATGCTGGGCAGATGGATGTGGCTGTGTGAAAGTGAGCTGTGAGGTTGTGCCCACGCTGGGGAAACTGGAGAAGGATTCCAAGGAGTGTGCCCATCACTTTAATATTGAATTAATATTGAGCCCATCACTTTAATATTGAATTAATATTGAGCCCATCACTTTAATATTGAGTTAATAGCAGGCTTTACATAAAGAGCCCAGGAAGTGGCACAATTGTTCCCACAGTTCTCCCCTTGCTGTTGGCCTCTGTGGAGCACTGAAAGCCCCCACTGATGCAGTCTGCATCTCATGGACTCCAGAGAAACCCAGAGAGATCCTCTGCAGTCATCGGCCCAAGGAGTCGCCGCAGCTCCTCCCAGCTCCTTGAGGACCTGATTCAGTTCCCGATATCCCCAAGGACTCTTGCAGTGTCTGCAGGTCGCTGGAGCTGTGCTGAAGGAGAGTCACCCTACTCCATCCTCTTTATCCCCACCACCAAGTCTTGCACCCCTAGCCTGGTCATTCCTGACCTGCAAGCCTCAGGATCCAAGGATGGATTTTGCTGCCTACTTCCTGAGCCTGGCAATGAAGATACAGACATGGGCTAACAGCAAACACCACTGCAATTCAGCAGCTCCCAGGCTGGTTCAGTCTCAGGTCCGAGGTGGTGGCTCAGCCGTGGTGTGCAGGGTGCTGTGAACCATACAGGACCTTCAGCCAACGTGGAGCTCAGGCCTGAGCAAAGCACTGGGCTGGGGGCTGCACTGCTGAGACGTTCTGCTCCAGAGACCTGTGTGAGAGCAGGATCAAAGCTCATGTGGGGCATGTGAGGGGCTGCAGGACCAGGGGAGGTGGCAGCAGAATGTCCCAGCCCCTTTCAGATGCCCTGGGGAATGTGGTGCTGGGGAAATGGCCTCACCAGGGATCCCACAACAGACAGGACAAGTCATCCCTCACGCTCATGGGCCCCACTCGTTCCTGGTGTGGAGGAGGCCCAGAAGGGACAGGGAGGTGTCCCTGTGCTGCTTTATTTGGGCCAGAGAAGGGACAAATGTTAGGTGCATGTGCCTGCTCACCTGGCTATCCCAATCCATGGCCTGCAGGGTCATTGTCAGTCACTGCATGGCTCCTGCCACTTTGTGCCTGGTGGAAGAGGATGAGACTTCACACATCACATCTTCCTGCATCCCTCTGCCCTGGTGCTGGCCTCCAGTAACCAGCCCTGGCTCCCTCCCAGGCTCCATGCTGTGCCCAGTGCTTTGGCCAGACAAATTTATGCTTGCTCTGAAAGAGAAACTGAGCTTTTCTGCTCCTATGGAGAGGGTCTCCTGGAAAACTGTGGTGAAGGGCGACCTCCAGGACCAAGAGGCAAAGACCAAAGTCTGCTGGCTGCTTGTGTGGGCTGGGGCAGGACTAGCTGAGATGCTGCCCTGTTCAGGGGAGTGAATGTGCTGGGGTGAACCTCTGCCCTGCGGTGCCAGCTGGCACAAGGAGAGCTCACCCTTCCCCTTGGCCCTTGCCCAGCTCGCAGTCCCAGCCTCTTTGGCTGTTCAGCACTGAACTGTGTTATCTTTCTGCTGCGGGCAGCAAGACTCCTCCCCTGGCTTTCACAACAGGGGCAATGCCAAGGGAAAGAGCAATGGGACAGCTGGGGAGGTGGCAGGGCTGGTGGGGGCTCTGTGGCCCCCAGACAAGGCCAAGGCATGGAGCAGGGAGCGTGGCAGTCCTGCTGCTTGGAGACTTGGTGATTCCCTCCCAGCTCTGAAGATGAGTGTTTCTGAGGAGGATGAGGAGATCTGCTCTGCTCAGCACTTCCAAACTCCCCAGAGCTGCTCCTTCCCCCTCCCTGTCCACCACCTCAGTGGATCAGCTCCTAAGCACCCTCAAGTGCTGGGATTTGCTGGTTTCTACCAGAGCACAAGGAAATGCTTCCAAAGGGCTGAAACAACAGGTGGGATTCTTTCCTGGCAGCTAAAAGGTGGTTGAGTAATCCCCTAAAATGTGGTAGAGATTGTGGTCACTAGAGCACACCGAGTATAATCTGTATATTCCAGGATGGGGAGGCTTGCTCTCATGACACACTCTGTGAGCAATTACTCATGACACAGTTCCCAGCAAATCTATTTGCAACACCAGCCAACAGAGGCATGAGCTCCTGAGCCACAGCCACCAGCACTGGAAGCACAGAGAAACCAGAGCCTGGGCAGGGCACGCAGGGGTCCTGATACCCGTGTATTGACCTGCCTTGCACTGGCAGAGGGAGAGAGATGTTGCTACTCCCCTCTCTGCCACTGCCCCCTCACCATGGGCAAATTCCTTTTCTAGCGGGTGTCTGCTTCCTCCCCACCACACCAGGAGTGCCTCATGCCCTTCCATTCAAGGGTTCAGGGCTGCAGCAGCAGCTGCTCTGCACAGGAGAGCCCAGCCAGGACAGTGGCTGGGCCAAAGTCTAAGTGGTGCCCCAGAGCCTGCACTGCTTGATCACCCTCAGCTTATCGCCTGATGGGGTCATAAGTCCTGGGCAAGGGACTGTTTGCTGATGGGGGTGTCTTCAGGGACAGCCCCTGACATGGGGAGAGAGCACAAAGGAGGGAATGAAGCTGTGGAGGTGCAAGTATGTCCCTGCTCTATCTGAGGGACCTCCAAAGAAGCACTGGGATGGACTCTTATCCTCACTGACGGCAGGACCTTGGTGGAGCAGCACTAGCGATTACGGCTGGGCTGGTTCTATCTGCTCACCCTGGAAGGGAGTGCCAGCGCCTGAATTGCTGCTTCACAGAACATGAACTCTGTTCCTGCAGCATAGCAGCAACAGGAACCCATTCCCCTCTGTCTAAGTCACTGGCCTCTATGAATGCCACATGTCTGATGTGACTCAGAGGCATGCCACAATCCCCTGCCCTTGTGCAGGTGATGCAAAGCAACTTTAGGAAGCAGGATGTCTCACCGTCAGTTCTAGAAGAGGACGTGGAGTCCATCTGGGCTGGGAAATCAGCAAACCCCACTGGATGCCCATGATCTTGTCCAGCTTGTAGTAAAGACTCTGGGCCAAACCCAAGACACGGGTGGTGGGAGTGACCAGGGGGGCTTTGGGGGCATGAGCAGGTACCATAGCTCCTGCTGAGGAGCAGCCCTCGCCTGGCCCAGGTGCTGTAACGTCGTGTGCTGGGGAGGCTGTCAAACACACGGAATCCTTCTTTGATGGCAAAATCCCAAGCCAGGTCAGCCACAAACTCTACATCCTGCGGGCTGCTTCCACATGGGGCTGGCTTCCCTGGGGAGGAGAGAAGAATAGGACACTTTTCTTTGCAAGAGCCCTTGTTCTGTAGTCACATCCCAAGCAGCACCAAGTGCCCTGGTCCGGCCCAGCCCAACAGGACCGGGGGAAACTCCTTGCTAAGGAATATGAAAGTAACACCTTGGTTTTCTCTGCTAAAGACCCCCAGGCCAGGCCTGCTGTGTGCAGATAAAACAGCACTGAGAGCTCACAGCACCCCCCTGCCTCTGGGTCTCTGCGGTGCTCAGTTTGAAGGTCTGGGAGCTCCACCTGTGGGACACAGCCTTGAGCTCTGAACTCTGCTCAGTCCCCTCATGAAAGGGAGCACCCGGCAAGCTCTGTGTGAGGAGCAAACAGGCACCCAGGTCAGAGCAGCCCTGCCTGTGCGTGCGTGCCCGTGCAGCGCCGGCGGGGTGGGCTCCTCACCTGCCCCAGGCTGCTTGCAGAGTCCCTGCAGCGCTGCAGCCAGCCGGAAAAGGGCAAAGGCCAGGTAGAAATTCCAGTTCTCCGGTCGCTGGGCTCCCACGTGGCCCCAGTACATCTGGGAATACTCCTCTGCCGTGGGCACTCCCTCGTGCCCCACATCACACCTCCTCAAGCCTGGAAGGTGCGAAGAGGCAACAGTGAGTCAGCAGTGAGGAGCTCCGAGGTTTCTAGGGATGATGTGAGGCTGGTGGCAGGGGCATAGAGCTGTGGAGACTCCCCCATCCAACACCTGCCCTGGTTGCAGACACACAATGGGTTTAGCACCAGCCCACGGAGGTGAAGTGCAGATGGGGCAGTTTTCTGACTGACAGATGTTCCTCCTAATGCTGGAATCGTTTTCCTCTGGGGTTAACCTTATACTGTTAACAAGTGTGTAACTGGGGACAAACTCCTCCTGGGCTGCCCTGGGTCACAGCTCCCCAGCTTCACAGCTGAAGTGAGAGGGAAAGTAACCCAAACTGAGCTTTGAATGCAGTTTTGCAAGCTGTGGAGCAAGGCCCTGACATCACCACCAACAAAGGTCCCTGCTCAGGGGCTGGGTGATGGCACCAACCAGGACAAATGGGTGACAGACATGAAACAAACTGGGGATGGGGTGACCCATCTGCACATGCAGAGAGATGTTTCCACCCTGCAGGGTTCTTTAGGGAAGGGAGAAATGGGAGAGCAGGGAATATGGTATAAGACCCACAGCTCCTCCCAGCTGCAATGAGCCCAGCCATCAGCTGAGATCTCTGGGCAAGAGTTAATCTGGTTTTGGACTCTAGTTCCTGTCTCTGTGTGTCAGATGTGGCTTCGCCCCTCTCTGTACCTCTCAGTGCACTAAAGTGAGGTGGCAGGAAGTAGGCCATACAGCTATTCGCCAAATCAGAGATGGGATCTCCTAGAGCTGCAAGCTTCCAGCCAAGGACAGCAAGGACTTCTGGCCTGTCTGGATGAAAGACCAGGTTGTCCATCCTGTATCAGAGGGAAAAAGAGATCAGAAAGGTCTCAAGACGGGGAAGAAGGTCCCAGTGCTCAGCAGCAGTAGGTGCTTCCAGTGCTCTTCACAAGCTGCTGAGTCCTTCAGGAGGCTGCACCAGTGAAACATTGATTTCTGCAGGCACAGGTCAGGGAGGATGGAGATTACTCCATAGTGAACTCCCTGATTAATGATGAACTGAGCCGTGCTGTGAACAATGAAACCAAGCTCTTCAGAGCCTCAGAGCGTTAGCAGATGTTACAGGACAGGACAGCCAAAAAGTGAGGCAGGCAAATCACTGTCCAAGGGGATTTCCTGGTCGTTTCCAAGGCACACAACGACTCCAGGCCCTGCACTGGAATGTCCCTGATGAAGTGTAGTAAAGCCTACTGAGGGCAGCAGCCTACTGAGGAGGAAACAGAGAGGGCACCATCCTGCCAGGGTGCAGAAGAGTTGATCCCCCAGTGTTAGAGCAGTGTTTACAGCGGTTGGGCAAAGAAACTCTGCAAGACCCATGAGGCAACAAGATTGCAGTGGCCCTCTAGATCTCATCACCTGTGGGATGCTGAGCTTGACCCAGAGCCCACCTTTTGGACTGCTCTGAAGCTGCTGTGCCAGCCCAGCTCAGCACCTCTCTGGTGTTTATATATTGCTTTACACTCTGTGTCCCTCTCTGGTGCCTGGGATGTGCTCCAGGGCAGTGCTGGCAGCCAAGCAGTACCTGAAATCCCCGTGCACAACTGTTGTCTGCTGAGAGGCAGGCAAGTGCAGAGGCAGCCACTCGATGAGTCTCTCCATGGCTGGGATAACACGAGTTTCCATAGCTCGGTACTGCTTCGTCCAGGTCTCGACTTGCTGCTGAATGTAATTACCTGTAACAGAGGAATGAAGGCTCTGAGGGAAAGGGACTGGCACAAAGAGGCTTCAAAAGAGACGCACAGAAGATGCATGAAGAAAACATAAAATGGCCAAACAGATCCAGCACCCTGCCACAAGCTCCAAGAGTCCAAACTGATGTAGCTCTGCAGAGAGACTGGAGGAGCTGGGGAAGCTTGGTCAAAGGCAGCAGCAAGCAAGTTACTCCTGCACCCACACCCAGCCCTTGCTCATAGCAGGAAGCTCTGGGGACTGCTGACAGGCAACACAGACCTGCAGGATCTACAGCAGCTCTCCACACCCTCACACCGCTCCTGAGCATCCAGGCTCCCTGCTGCCTGTCTGCACTCTCCCAGCTGCCCCCAAGCTCAGCTCAAGCCCCGTACCCAAGCTCATCCCTTGAAATGCTGATCTACAGTGACAGAGGACACACAGGCTTCTCTCACCGTGCTCCCTGAGCTCCTCCAGCTTGGCTGCTTTGAGGTCTACGCTGTGGATCTTGGACAGGACTTGGCTCATAGCAGCATAAAGAGCTCTCCGTTGGCCCGGCTGCAGCGCGGCAAAGGAGACGTCGCTGTAGATATGGCCAGCACAGTGCTCCATCAGGTAGAAAGGTGTGCCAAGGGTGCTGGGGAGCAAGGGGAAGCAGCAGGGCTGAGGTCAATCCTGCTACCTGCCAGGCCTCAGTCTCACCTGGGTTTAGGCTGCTGTGGGCTGCAGAGCTGGGCTCTCAGACCGCACACAGATGATGGGCACACATTTAACTGCAGTGCAGAGGCTTTGCTGCTGCAGGCAGCAGGGATGTGAGCGTGGCTGTGCTGACTGCAGGCTGCACGGGCTGTCCTGCCTGCAGGCTTGCTGCTGTCACAGCTGGGGATCTTGGGGCAAGTCTGAGGGCTGGCAGTCAGAAACATCACCTCCTTATTGGAACCCTGAGTGTATGGAGTCAGTGGGAAGCCCTAACCACTGCTTTAGAGCTGCCTTTCAAAGACAGCACTTGCTCAACTGCTAAATAGGACACACCTGAACCAAGCCAAACAAAAGTGTTACTGTCCTTTGAACTTCCAGAGGCTCCTCTGGCCTTAGACTGGACACACATTAATGAGCCCAGTGCACTCGGTGAGGTCTGGCTCCTTCTTCTCTCCTCATCTTTGCAGGAATCTGGCTGAGGTTTTCAAGCAGAGTGGAAGGTGAGGGACAAGATTACCTTCTGTCCTCACAGAGGGCAAGCACGGAGGGAACAGGAACACCAGCTTCAGCAAGAGCCTTCAGTAACCTGCCAGGGCGAGCCAGAGAGCTGTGTCAGCACAGAAAGGCATTAGGGAATCGGTACTAGAGCAGCAGTGTTGCCAGGCAGACACACGGTATTAGAGTCCTGTCCTCAGTTTTAAATACACTAAAGCAACATGGCTGGAGGTAGGCAAAAGAAGCACACCAAAACCTTCATGTGGCCCTGAGACCTTATCCAACACACTCTGGAAGACCAAAGGGAGAGCCCAGCTGCTCCCACACAAGTGACCCTCTGCTGAGATCACAGGCTGGGATACAGAGCGGTGTGTCTGATGTGGAACAGGCTGGAATGGAGCACTGTCCCTAGGATGGGGTTGTTTGGGATCCACAGGAGTGGATTCATTCCTGCTCAGCTGGAAGGAGGAGCAGACTCCTTCTCACCTGTATTCCCTTCTGACGGCAGAGCCTGAGGGATGTGGGCTGTCAGGGGGCTCCTTCTTCAGCACTAGCAAGTGATCTCCAAACCTGACAGAATAGGTCTGGGAGGAGTGTCCATGGCCAAACTGCCGTAACACCAACGGGCCTGCAGGGAGAGAGCAGGGCGTCAGCAGAGCCAGGAGCTTCTATAGGGTTTACATCTCTTCCTTGCAATCAGGACCCTGCACCTGTGTCCCAAACCCCTGGGGAGCATGGCAATAGCTCATAGATGGCTCACAGGCCAGGAACACTCCTGGCATCCATTTGTTGTGCTGAACCCCTCCCAGATGAGGAAGTCCTAAAGTGTCATTTCCCATTTCTGGGATACACTGAGTGTCCATACTGTTTGCTTGGAGGTTCGGAGCCTTCTGTTGTATGATGGAAAGAGCCAGTGGCTCCAGAACAGGTGAGCTTTGAGGCTGAAGAGCAGGAAGCACTGTGATACCTGTGGTGTGGTCACTGAGGACATCCTCAAGGTACTTCTGCAGATTGTCTTTTGGGATATCCATGCTTGGTCTGACTGCACGGGTATATGGAACAAACCCTTGCAAAGGGAAACCCAGACACATTTCCAGCTCTTTGAATGCCACTTCTGGATCATCCACCTGAAAGCAGGAGGGAGAGAGTATAACATGGGGTGATAGCAGCAGATAAAATTGGCTGGGAAAGAAAGAGCTCTCCACACTTGCAATGTGATTGTCCGTGAGTTCCATAGCACTGATCCACTGAGACACACGGGGATTCACAGGTCATTCCCTGCCAACATGGAGCACCATTGCTAATACTCACTGAGCCTCCCACCATGGTCTCTGCTCTGGTGGCATACCTGTTATGGTGGCACAGGCACTGTGAGCTTGGGCTGGGCTAAGAGCTGGAATTCCCTGTGTGCAGTCCAGGGGAGCAGAGTCCACTCTTCCCATCAGTTCCGTGCTTCCCCCAGGGGTCCCCTCACTGCAGTAAACCCCTCCTGCTCACTGTCTCCAAAGGTGGAGGTTAACCAGTCAGTCCCCAACTAACAGATCCGTGATGCCTCAGAGCTTCTAGACATCCATTAAACATGTCTCATTTTCTCCCATCTCAACCATACATTGGGGCTGTTTCTCTAATAGGGAACTGAGATCTGTAAGGAAGTGACTTCTCCAGGGTTACACTGGCTGCAGGGTTCAGAGCTGTGAATGAAACAGTGCAGCCCGCCAGGAATCCTCCCTCTTAACCCCACCACATCCTGCAGGAATAAGGACAGGCTGAAACAAAAGGCCTTGGCAACACGAGTCTGCCACTGCCACTTGAAAATCCTGAGCCATTCGAGCCAAACACAGCTTCTGGACTTAAAAACCATCACCAAAGCCCACTGTCGTTGCTTTGCTTTGTACCTGCACCGTTTTGATGCCAAGCTGAGCTGCTGCTTTTAGGTTCTGGCTGTTGTTGTCGAGGAAGATGGATTCCTGGGGCTGAGTGCCCAAGCGCTCCAAGCACAGCTTGTAGATCTGAGGGTCTGCCTTGCCCATCCCTTCCCGGTAGGATTCAACCATCTACAGCAACAACAAACGGATTATGCATGAGCCTGCTGTGACCACATTCATCTGCAGGGCTGGAAATGGAGGATGGGAAGGTGGGAGACTGCCAGTCTAATTAGCATGTGAAATAAAGGACATGGAGGGCTGGATAGGACATGATTCAAGTGACTGCATGGGTGCCACGGCTGTGGCTCTTCCAGGCCAAACCAGCTGAACAGGATGAGCCAGTCCTCAGATGGAAGATATCCAGAGAGGACTGGATATCCCAGACCATGCTGAACCAATTGCTCAATGCTGTCCAAGAAAGCCTTGGGTTGCACCTCCTTCCAAATGATCTGGGAAAGTGATGTCCTGACCACTACACCTATTGACCACACAGCAGCAGAGATGTTGACCACAATCACCTGCTCACATTGGGGCCAAAGTATTGAGTCAGTCTCGGAACACTCATGCTGCCCTCCCAACCATAACCAATTCAAGCAGTATTTCACCCTGGCACTGACAGACACTCCAGGAACAGAAATTAATCTATTACATAGATATAAAAGCTATGCTAATGGAAATCCACATTCAATTAATTTTTTCCCCTACTAATTACAGTGCAGTGCTGTTGCCTGCTGTTACAGAAGAGCCAAGCTGTATGAGTGATGACACCAGATAGGTGATGGTTAGTGAAGGGCTTTGAAACAGTCTGGGATGAAAAGAAGCACCACAGAGCATCCCAACAGAGCATCACTCCGCTATGACAACTTCACAGGCACCAGTGTCACCGCATAGAAAGCTGAGTGTGTAATGATGTAACGGTGACAAGGTGACCCTTCTTTGCAGATTTTATTGTCTTAAGGCTATAAACCAAACTTAAGTCATGAATAAACTCCTGGAATTTGAAGGTTTGAGCTGGGGCACATAAAAGAAGCCAATTTTCTGTCACGCAGAGCTGAGTCCCCATAGCTGCCTGTCAAAGCGAAGCCCCTTGAACCAGCTGGAGGCTCACAGCTGATCTGCTTCATCTCTGCAGCAGGAAGTGTGCTGGCAGAGGGGCCTCTGCCTGCTCAGCAGCTCAGGCAGGTTGGCGTATTGGAGCTGTGGGATTCCCAGTTCTTTGGGATGAAACAGGCTTTAAAAGGACTAAACATAAAGCAGGCAGAGACATTGGGGAATGACATTTATTGCTTGTATAGTGTTCCAACTCCTAAGCTCTTTATTAACCTATTATCTATATAAACATGTATCTATATCTATATCTATAACCTCTATCTCCCTATGCCTGTCACACGGATACTTGTGGTTGTGTGGGCATTGTGCAGTGAATTCTCACATGCATAAGTACCTGCCCCTCACTCAGACCCTCTCCAAGGCCCAGCCACTGCAATGAATTCTGCCAGGAACCACCATCACAGGCAGTTACATTTACAGCTGCTAACACGTGCTGCTGGCTGCCCGTCATTTGGTACCTGCCTGTAAAGAATTCCAGTTGCTGCTTCCTAGAAACCTACAGGAACGCATTTTAGGATCCATCCAGGCTTACCACATCAAAGTGCTTTTGTAGGGGCAGGAAGCTCTTCCCATTCAGCAGGCAGAAGTTGTCCATCAGAAGAGCTGTCTTAAGACCTTCTGCACGGATACACTGTACTGCTTCTGCCATTATGGGGAGCTGTTTTATCATCTCCTTTCTGATTAAGGCCGAGAGCAAAGAGTCCACTGGAACACGGATGTTTGCCTAAGAAAGCAAACCCCAAGAATGGTAATTACCCAGAGACTGGTTTTAAGCAGGGAGGAAAAGCAGAGTGCTTGGGTAGGTAGATTGCCCGATCATCTTATCTTGGGGTCCTGCTTCCTTTGGCAGCAGAAGGCAGGCACTGAAGCTCCCAGCTAAATTGCTGAGACCAAATAAAGCAGTGTTCTCACATTACTCATACTGCAGGAGCAGCAGCAGAGATCAAGGGCTGATTCGGGGAGAGAGAAACACACCAGGGCTGTGTCTGCCATGGAATCAAGGTGGGTTAGAGAGAAATCCTGCAGGCAGGAAAGGAACTGGCATTTTAGACTGGGCTGGTTTGGAACAGCTCTGTTCAAAAGAGGGTTCCTAAAGCTGTGTTGGAGGGGCTTCTGCTGATCCTAAGGACCATGGTCTGTGTATGAAGTAACAGCAAAAGCCTTTCAGCTGGTTTCTGGCCCCGACTTCTCACCTCCACTGATTCTAGAGGTGTTGTGAAATGAAACCATTACGAAACATGCAGGAAGAGGCTGGTGGAAGCAGAGGCAAATTCAGCTGAACACGCAGCCTGGGTACCAGAATGATGACAGCAGGGAAAAGTCTGCCCTGAGCAGACAGCGATGCTTCCTGGATGCTACATCCAGACCCTTCCAAAGGACTGCTTTAAAAAGCTGCTCTTCCCTCCCTTCTGGATCCCACTCCCCTGCAGTCAGGAAGCACAAAGAGAGGAGGGGGTTTTGGCTTACAATCCCAAAGCACTGCCGGCCCAGTTCCTGCAGAAACTCCACAGCTGTCAGCTCTCCTCTCGTGTACTTCAGGGAGAGGCTGTTCTCTCCTCCAGAGAACATAGCTTGCTGGATGGTGCCAGCTGGGAGACAGTCCCGGGCCTCCCAGTCTACATAGGAAGAAAGCCAGGAAAGAGCAGGTTTGGCATCATCAGAACTGGGAAATCAGCTTGGAATCCCTTTGGGGTCTGATCCACCAACCAGCACCCATGAGAACTGACGTGGACCAGTGCAGTTTACCCAGACACAGACAGGAGGTTTGGACATTCCCCCAGCTGAAGCACCTCACCTCTGTTTTCGGTGCGGTACCTTGGGGTGAAAACATGGAGCTGTTAAAGCGTGCTGAGGGGCTGTAACGTTGGGTGGTATCAGACAGCATCACTACAGGACAGGTTCAGCACCAAATGGGTTCAGGCGCTGACCTGGAGCTGTCAGCACTGTCACCGGTGGCTGTTTTGGTACTTCTGGTGACACCAGAGGTAGCATCATCATCATGGTGTACCACCACCATCATCATCATCGTCATGGCAAGCTCTTGAGCACCTCACCAGAACCAGCAGCAACCCACGGGGTCACCGGGAATCTACTTTCCCTCCACGCCTGCAAGCGACAGGAGCAAATGGGAATACAGACCCGCGGCTGTCTTGGAAGGGGATGGGAGGAGCGCGCCGGCAGCGTGGAAGATCACGGCTCTGTAACGGCACCAAGCAGACCGGCTCCGATGGACTGATCCCTGCAGGTGCTGCCGCATCCCAGCACGCAGCAGGCACGGGGCGGCGCGGGCGACGCTCCATGGGTACATCCTGGGAACCACGCTGAGGGTGGCAGGAAAACTACAGCTGGCCTGTATGGACCGAGGAGATGGGATATAGGACACAGAGCATTGAATTACAGGGGTAAGTGTTTATTCACTTGTGTGGCGTTACACAGGGTCCTTGTGCCCTTCAAAGGCACAGCATGGTTTGACTAATGGCTGGCACACATCACCAACACACTACTGATTACAAATCACAGCAAACCTTTGCAAAGCGACTCTATCCTTGCTGCTTCTCTATTGATGCAGCAGCCCATGAAGCCAGTGTTGCTCAAGTTAATTATCTACGATGCCAGGCAATGCTGGGAGGGTTTCAAAGACGTATTACAGAGGCTATAGGATGCTGCTGTTTTGATTATCCAGGGCATCCTTCACCCTTCACGGACACCTCTGTGCCATGAAGCAAAGTCCTTATTTCCATGGCTGGGCTTTTCGTTTCTTTTCCTTCACCATGAACCATAGCACAGCCCTGAGCTGCAACATACCAACGTGCTGGGTGCGGGGGGGAGGGGGGGAAGGAAGGAAGAGGGGGTTTAAGGTTTTAATTAATTATGGGGGTGTTCTGTAGCCAACGCGGATGCGGCCTGAGCCCTCCATCCCGGCTGCATCGCCATGGTAACGGGGTCCATGGCCCCTTGCCAGGCAGGGGCCGGCTTCCCCTGGCCAGCCACCCACAGCCCCCCCCCCCCGCTCTCGCGAGAGCTCACCTCCAAGTCTCGCGAGAAGCAGCGGGGCACCGCTCATAGCCCCCCCCCCGCGCCCTCCTCCTCCTCCTCCTCTCCCTGCTCCTTCCGCCGCTGTCGCCGTCGTACGTCTGACGTCACCGCGCCGGGGTCAGAGGGGAGAGGCGCGGAAGCGGCGGAGGCCCCCGGAGCCCGGGCCCATGAGCGTGTCGCTGGTGGTGATCCGGCTGGAGCTGGCCGAGCACTCGGCGCTGCCCGCGGCCTTCGCCTACAGCGCGGCTGGTGAGTGGCTCCGGTGCCCCCCCGCCGCGGCCCGGGGAGGAGGAAGCGGCGCCGAGGCCCGCAGGCGCCCGGGGAGGGGGCCGAGGGGTCGGTTCCGGGCCCGGTCCCGGCCCCGGCCCCGCCGCAGTGTGCCAATGGCCGTTGTTTCCTGCGCAGCTCCGGACATGGCGGCGGAGGGCACCGGCGCGGCCCCGGCTGCTGTCCCGGCCTGTCTGGAGGGGAAAGGCCCCGGGGAGCGGGCGGCCATCCTGCACCAGCACCTCGGCCGCAGGGAGATGACCGATGTGATCATCGAGACCATCCAGCCGCGGTCAGGTACCGGCCTCCGGGGGGGGGGGGGAGGTTCGGTTTGTGCTGCCCCGCTCCGGGGGGGGGGGGGGGGGGGGAAGGGGACGTGGCCCCGCGGGTGACAGGTGCCTGTCGGTGTGGGGGTGCAGGTCCGGAGGCACTCCTGTGGTCTGGGAAACAAGGAGAGAGGTTGGGGGATGTGCAGAGAGAGGGGTGGGTATTCCTGGCAAGCGTTCCTTGCTCCATAAAGGTTTATTTCTTAATGGAGCACCTCTGGTGTGGGAGCTGGGCTGGGGCAGCCTGGAGAAGAGAAGGCTCCTGAAGGGGAGACCTGAGAGCAGCTCCAGTGCCTAAAGGGGCCGCAGGAAACCTGGAGAGGGGCTTGGGACAAGGGCATGTAGGGACAGGCCAAGGGGAATGGCTTTAACCTGCCAGAGGGGAGACTGAGCTGAGCTCTTAGGCAGAAGCTGTTCCCTGTGAGGGTGCTGAGGCGCTGGCACAGGGTGCCCAGAGAAGCTGTGGCTGCCCCATCCCTGGCAGTGCTCAAGGCCAGGTTGGACACAGGGGCTTGGAGCAAGCTGCTCCAGTGGAAGGGGTCCCTGCCCGTGGCAGGGGCTGGAGCTGGAGGAGCTTTAAGGTCCGTTCCAACACAAACCAGGCTGGGATTCTATGAGTTTATTTTGGGCTGTGCCACAGGCTGGTCAGCGTTTTGCTTGTCAGCATTGCTGCTCCCTAGCAGTGAGTGCATTCAGTGCTGCAGATGTTTAAATTCCCTGACAGAGAGGAAATTTCAAGCTGGAAGCTCCAAGCCAAATGTCCAGGCTGCTGTTGGAGGAGCTGCTTTCTCCAAGTCCTTGCTCAGCAAACCTGTCTTGCTTGTCCTTTGTTGACATGGGTGCCTGTTGGGGTTTGACTGGCACAAAACTCACTGTGCTTGATCCACAGCACTGGGTCCTGCCAGGGGCTTGTGTCGGGTGTGTGGCAGCTCTGGAGTTCCCTGTGGGACAGCAGACAGGAGCTGTGTGTCGTTCTGCTGCTTTCCAGCGTTGGAATTTGCCTTCTCCGAGCTGTTGTGCACATGCAGGCTGTGCTTGGGGAGCAGGAGATGCTTCTGTTGCGCCATTAGTAATGTGGAAACCTTTGATTTGTATAAGATGAAACCAAAGCTGCTGTGGAAGGAAGGAAAGCTCCAGAGGCTGCATCTGCTGAGGACAACAATAAACCTGATGAGCAAAGCAAAGAGCATGAGGCTGCTCCCGACTCGCCTTCAAAACAGCTCCCAGACCAGATCTCCTTCTTCAGCGGGAACCCCTCGGTTGAAATCGTCCATGGCATCATGCACCTGTACAAAACAAAGTAAGGATGCTTGGATAATTGCAGCTCCGGTGGGAATGCTGCTCCTGAGTAATGCCAGCACCCGGAAGGGCAGGTTGCTCACCCTGGGGCTGTGGCTCCTGAGCTGGGACAAACAGGAAGGTGACTCAAAGCAGGAGGGCAGAAAGGCTCTGATGATGTTAGAGCTGGAGGCTGGCCCCATCCACCAGCTGTGGGTGATGCTGCTCCAGATGTAAGGGTGCAAGATGAATGCAGGTTCCTATAAAATGATGTTTGGAAACAGCTTCTGAAGGGATCCCATGAGTAAATTGTGGGCTCTGAGGTGGTGGCAGCAGGCCTGAGGAGCTGTCGGGGCAGGAGGCTTCCTCCTGCGTTTCAGAGATGATTATTCCCTGCCATTCCCATATAATCACATGAGAAGTGCCATGTCAGGTTTTCCTGAGACATTAAAGTGAGCATTTAAACTGGTAGCAAATGTTGCTCACGTGTTCTAGGAATAGTTCTGAGCCTTTGCGGCTTCCCAAATTCAATGGTTTTTATAGGAAAACAGATGTCAACTTATTCCTGACAAAACCATGGGCGTTTGGAGTTGCCCAGTTTAATCTGGGAAGGAGTCACAGGTCCGTGTGGGCACACCAGACTCTCACCACTCCCTTGCTTCTCTCTCTTTATATATACAAAGAAGGACAAGGTTGAGAACAGAGTTATCAGGGTCAGTTGTTGGGAATGTGTCCAGCCGTGCCTTTGCCCTCTCTGGAGGGAGCTGAGGCTGTGTCCCTGTTGTCTCCTCAGCAAGATGACCTCTCTGAAGGAGGACGTGCGGCGCAGCGCCATGCTCTGCATCCTCACCGTCCCTGCTACCATGACCAGCCACGACCTCATGAAGTTTGTGGCCTCCTTCTACGAAGTGATCGAGCACATGAAAATCATCCGGGATTCCACTCCAAACCAGTACATGGTGCTGATAAAGTTCAGCTCGCAGGTAAGAGCTGGAAGTCCCTTTGCTGTAGGGACTGTTGTATGTGGTTGCTCTTTAGAAGGGCTCCCTGGCTTTAAACTAATAGAAGGGAGATTGAGATGAGCTCTTAGGCAGAAGCTCTTCCCTGTGAGGGTGCTGAGGTGCTGGCACAGGGTGCCCAGAGAAGCTGTGGCTGCCCCATCCCTGGCAGTGCTCAAGGCCAGGTTGGACACAGGGGCTTGGAGCAAGCTGCTCCAGTGGAAGGGGTCCCTGCCCGTGGCAGGGGTTGGAGCTGGAGGAGCTTTGAGGTCCCTTCAACCCAAGCCATTCCATGATTGCGCTGTGCTGAGCAGACAGGACCCAGCCAGCTGGGCTTTGCTTGCAGTTTGGGAAGGACTTGTTCTGCTTTTCCAAGGAGCTGGCTGGTCTCACAGCCACTGCCAGCACAGTGTGAAAAGGGCACTCACCCCACAACTGAGCCCAGGGGATGGATGGATAAGCACACAGCAGTTTGCTGCTTGCAGATCTTCTATGTAGCTATAAGTATTTTGCCCCCTGCCTGTTCCTCTGTGGACCCTCTCACTTGTACCTTCTCTTCTCCCACTTGAAAATGACTCATTCTGGGTTCCTGGAGGGGTTCTCCCCAGCTGTCAGTTTTGTGTGAGGTCCTTGCCGTGTTGTTGTGCAGGTGCAATGCTTGTTTGTGGTTTGTGCTCTGTGCAGTAATTACCAAGGTGCATTTTGTGTATTGCTGCATCTAATGACCCTGGGCTAAAGAGCCTTGCACAAATCCATATGCTTGTACTCTGTTCACCCTGCAATTCCTGTTTCCTAGGACATTCCCTGAAGCCCTGTTCCCCAGGGACCCCTAAAATGTGTTTCTGTAGGTAGCAAAGGAAATCTTAGGGACCTTTATGCTCCTGGTTGGAGTGTCGAGGAACAGAGGAAGGTTCACTCAGCTCACTCACCTCAATCTGATGCAATGGTTTGTGAGAGAAAGGGTTTGGGGAGGTTTCTGTGTGTCAAACGCATCCGTTTTCAGGTTTTATGTTGGTTCTGCCTGCTTGCAAGTGACTCGCAGGCTCCCAGCATACTTCAGTACATCCAGAGCATGCCTCCACTGTGACCAGTGACATGGATTCGTGCCCACACTTGAATTGTTCCTTCCCCTGACACAAGTGTCCTGCAGCATGGCCCTCTGAAATTTTCAGAGACCAAATTTGCTTTGCAAATGTGCTGAAATTGCTGACAAAGGGCAAAACAGATGCTGAAGGGAAACCCGTTATCCCTGCTGAATGTTCAAGTACCAGAGTAGCTGTCACTGCTGTGAACTTCACTGCTTGTCTTCAAGTGGTAACGCTAAGCCCAGTGCCAAAATGCAATGCCTGCTGGCAGGAGCTGGCTATGAAATCCCTCCTCTGGTGTTACAGGGCTTGGTGGCAGGGAGAGGAGAGGCTACAGCAGACTGCTCTTCCTCAGTTGTATCAACTGTGAGCTTTCTAACTGGCTTCCTTTGCTTTGTGCACAGGCTGATGCAGACAGCTTTTACATGGCATGCAATGGCCGGCAGTTCAACTCAATAGAGGAGGATGTTTGCCAGCTGGTGTATGTGGAAAGGGCTGAAGTCTTCAAATCAGAAGATGTAAGTTTGGTTGGGCTTGGTTTCCCTGCACAGCAGAGAGCGTTAAGAGGATCATTTGGACTGGGCAGAGTGTTGCAAGAATTGCTTCACTGTGTCAGCCCAAGCCCTTTATCCCATCCCAGTGTGACTTGGGAGAGCTTGTTTGGTGACTTTGTGGCTTCATGCCTCATTGCTGCAGTGTCTTTAACCTAAACCTGCCTTGGGGGTAGATCCAGTGAATCCAGAACACGGAATGGGCCTGGCTGCAGGTGCTGCAGCTGTACCGAGCCCGTGATGTGAAGAGGATCCTGGCAGTTGTAACCACTGTGTAGACTCATGGGATACTTTTAGTGGTTTTGTACGTTGGTGCCAGCAGTAATGGGAGAGAAGTTTGATGTTTCCTTATGTGGGTGCTTTGCTTACAGTGGTTGGAAGGTGCTGAGCAATTTGTCTCCCTGTCTTCTTTTGAAGGGGGCCAGCCTGCCCGTGATGGACCTGACAGAGCTCCCCAAGTGCACAGTGTGCCTGGAGAGGATGGATGAGTCCGTGAACGGGGTCCTCACCACGCTGTGTAACCACAGCTTCCACAGCCAGTGTCTGCAGCGGTGGGAGGACACCACGTAAGAGCCT